TTATGGAATTTGAGTTGTAGACATTTTTAGCTTCCTCAGCCTCTCCTACAACTATTTCATCGCTTAAGAACCCCACAAAAACCGTATTTTTTTCCTATACCGGGTATGTTTTTCACCGCCATTTCCTCATAAAGTCAGTATTTTATTTTTCTTTATCGGCCGTTTTCTCAAAGCGCAACTTTTCTCTATACTTTTTTGAATAACTCCACCATTTTTCATCCAATCTTCATGAAATTTTTACAGAATGAAGAGAAGATGTAATACGAAAACTTTGTTTGTTGAATTTTTGATGTACGGAATAGATTTTTGTTGTTGGTGTCTGGAGTGTGGATTTTCACGGATTTTTGCAAACTTGAATGCTACCTCAGGAAAATAATCATTAAAAATTGTCTTTTTCGTTAAGGAAAAAAACCAAAAGACAAATTTTTAGATCTAATGTTTTATGAACACGTATGCAAAAAAAAAAAAAAATTTTCAAGAGCAATAAGTGTGGTATTCTTTACGTAAGACATGTCAACAAAATCCAATATGGCCGCCGTGTCCATGGAAACGAAACTTTTTCTCAAATTTGATTGCGGATTCTAAGACTCCTTACTAGGCTTGTTATATGTGGGAAATTTGGTAAAATTCGGTCCAGTAATAAGCGAGATAGCCTTCAGGTATAGTCCCCCCCCCTTAATGAATAATGAAAACTGCATCTTAATAAGTGTCAAGTTAATATTGCTCCTGAGCCTAAAATGAGTTTAGAACGAAAGACTAGTACTAGGGAGATAAGTACTGTCGTAAAGTTAGTTGAACACTTAGTAAACCCTTCACGAACAGTTTTTAAAAAAAACAATGATTCTCTCCGTCCCCTCCCACCCAGAATCTATAAAAAGGCTACGGCTATGACTTAAAATGGCACCATGTCACATCACAACATCACAAGGTAAACAACACGCCACACATCAACAGCGACTTTCACCAAACCCAAACATAGACAAGGAAAAACAAGAAACAGTCACCAAAGCAGGATCAACGACAGCGAATTGAGACACATGAGAAAAAGAGACAGTTGGAGAAAAAGAGACAGTTGGAGAAAAAGAGACAGTTGGAGAAACAAGATTGTCAGGGACCAATCTACCTCACCTCTCGGCTTGAAAATAAAAAATAAACAACGAATGAAATGTTTGAGCATCTGTCTAGACTACCACCAGTCAGCATAGAAGAGAGAGAGAGAGAGAGAGAGAGAGAGAGAGAGAGAGAGAGAGAGAGAGAGAGAGAGAGAGAGCATGCAACCAGAGATCAAACGGTAACAGGAGAATAGGCACGCCCGGGAAAAGATAGACAGAGGGGGGTCAGAGAAACGTTAGTCAAGAACAGAGTAATCATGCAGCAGGCGACACACCAAACAACACAACCATACAACAGGTGATACATCAAACAACACAACCATACAACAGGTGATACAACAAACAACACAACCATACAACAAACAACACAACCATACAACAGTTGATACATCAAACAACACAACCATACAACAGGCGATACATCAAACAACACAACATACAACAGGTGATACAACAAACAACACAACCATACAACAGGTGATACAACAAACAAGAGAAAGGTGTTTGCCTCTCCCCTCAGCACCGAGAGGTCACACAGGCAGGACCAGTGAGTAAAAGCAAGTATGTAAAAAAAGAAGCACCACTTCAAACAGTTTCAGCGATAGAGTGGGGTTAAGCGGCTGTGGAAAAGCAAGACTCTGGTTCATTCTTGCAGGGGTCACTTCAAAAGCAGGGTAAATCCACTTTTAGAGAAAAAATCCAACTTACATCAGTACCTGTAAAATATCCCTGCGAAATCAACAAAGTAAAAAAAAACAAACCAATAGCAAAGCCATTCACAAAGCGGATCTTTATACCAGCAAATCAAAGCAAGAACAAGCCAAGTCCATCATTAGAACAAGAACTCCTCCCACAGAATATAAAATAAAAAATAAGAGATTGAAAACCAAGGTTCACAACTCAATTGCTCTGTCATCATGCTTCTTTATTTCAAACTCTTTCTTTGCCGTTGAAAAATGCGGCTATAAATCTTGACGTAAATTATCTGTCCTTCCGTTTGTGTTTCCATTTGCCTTCTGTGCTGTGAGCCGACTAGACTACAGCAGCCAAAAAGGATGCCATCAATTTGCTCGAAATCTGGATCTGACCGTTACTCGTTTTCCTGACTGTGAACCAAACGCGTGTCCTTTCACCAGTTCCGCTGAGTAGCGCCGATGTCCGCGAGACGTGTACAAAGAGTCCAGTTTCAACAGTTGGTCTGATCCACAGTGTCCAGTCTCAGCAGTTGGTCTGATCCACAGTGTCCAGTCTCAGCAGTTGGTCTGATCCACAGTGTCCAGTCTCAGCAGTTGTTCTGATCCACAGGCCGCAGCCAGTTGGCATTAATGCCGTTCAGAAACAACTTAATCTTGAGCAGGTCTCGTTTGGGCGGTATGTAGCCCCTCCTCCGGGTCAGGATCATGGCCGTTTCTGGAGACAAGGAAACATACAAGACCCAATACGGTGTGGAAAAAGAAAGATTAGTATCTTAAATGAATATCACCAGCCAGCCGTTTGCATGAATTTAGCCCAGAAAGCAAATTATAGTTTTTCGAGAAAGAAAAAAAAATGATGCCTCATTCTTTTAACAGTTGTAACTACATTGTGAATCATTTCCTGTTTTCCAAAAAGTTATTAGAATTAAAATTTCCATAAAATGTCTCCCGCAAATGTGTAACCGATAGACCTGCTACAAATTACACAAGTGCCGAACAGCAAACTAGTGGACTTTATACATCTGTACAGATGGCCGCGGAGATAGTTTACTAGGTGATGACTGGCTCATCACACTGCCGTAAACTGACAACCGCAAGGAATGGAGGAAGCGGGTAGCAAAGATACCCCCCCCCCTCTGTGACCCCAACTATGACCTACACAGTGACCCCCACTGACTTCAACTATGACCCCCACTATGACCCCGGGTTTGCGTACAAGGTCAACCACGTTCCAAGTTGGAAGGACGACTGTACTTTTGGTCTTTGTTCCTTTAATGGCGTTCTCTAGAGCAATCCTTCCCATGGTCAGCGCTATCTAAACTGGTGATTACAACACTGTACAACCGACCTCTGTTTTATAACGTCGCGGTTAGGCATCTCGCTGTTGCTCGCAGGATTCCCGAGCTTGATTCCTGTGTGGGCAGAAGTTTCATCGAGTACCTCGGTCTTTCTGGTGGTACGTTGTATCCCTCACAGCCCGGGTCAGCTCTGACAGACAGTGTCGTTCAGAAACTTGCCATTCGAACGAACCTAGGATCTGTCTAACGCACGGTTTTTAGTTTAGTTTTAGTAAGGTTTTACGGCGCTCGCAACTGCATAAGATCATATGAGCGCCAAACGCACGTTTGAGTGGAAGAGATTGCGTCGGTCTGTCTCTCTTGTCGCTTCTGTCCGCTCCAGCTGTTTATGGAAAGGATAAATGCTGCACGTATGCACGTGAGAAGAAAAGGGTGAGTGTCTGGGTAAAGAAGTAGACAGTGCAGGGTGACTCACGTCTGGAGATGGGTAGGAAGAAGAGCACAGGGTCACAGATGAAGACCAGAGCCCAGCTCACGTAGTCGGTGTCGATCACCCGGAAGTTACGTAGCTGGAAGAAAATGTCTGCAAGAATAGTGAGGATAAAAAAACACATTAAGAATCATCATCATCATCATCATCATCATCATCATCATCATCATCATCATCATCATCATCATCATCATCATCATCATCATCATCATCACCAACAGTTTCACGACAGACAGACGACCACGACCAGCACCCAGATATGGGTTGCACCAAAGACCACGACCAGCACCCAGCTATGTGTTGTACCAACGACCAGTACACAGCTGTGTGTTGTACCAGCGACCAGCACACAGCTATGTGTTGTACCAAAGACCAGCACACAGCTATGTGTTGTACCAAAGACCAGCACACAGCTATGTGTTGTACCAAAGACCAGCACATAGCTGTGTGTTGTACCAAAGACCATGACCAGCACCCAGCTGTGTGTTGTACCAAAGACCAGCACACAGCTATGTGTTGCACCAAAGACCAGCACACAGCTGTGTGTTACACCAAAGACCAGCACACAGCTATGTGTTGTACCAAAGACCAGCACACAGCTATGTGTTGTACCAAAGACCAGCACACAGCTATGTGTTGCACCAAAGACCAGCACACAGCTGTGTGTTGCACCAAAGACCAGCACACAGCTGTGTGTTGTACCAAAGACCAGCACACAGCTGTGTGTTGCACCAAAGACCTGCTCTTACTTTGGATCCTGATCCTGAAATCCCCGGACCAAATGTTCCTCCTTGCTATGCCCGTCACTGAGTACGGTCTGCCCAGCACCAAAGGTCATGGGGTCACGAGAGGTCACAGGGTCACACGGGGTCACATGGTGGAGGACGAAAGGTCACGTGGTCAGTGAATGGTGTGGAGGGTATAACAGGTCACGGGGTCACGGGGCCAG